TTAGTGAACTGTGTGTGCTGGGAGTGATGTTTTGGCTGTTCTCAAAAATTCACATCTTGCTGCGGTTTCTTTCATAACGAAGTGTTCAGAATGATGTGAAATCAAACAGTAGAGTTTCCGGCGACAACAGGTTTTTAAATTTTATCTTGCGCCCTACAATGCCCTTGTACATATTAATAGCCTTTCACCGTGCAATACTTTTGCAGTGTTGATGTGCTAGCCATTCATGTACCCGGATACCGTTGCCTTTGCTTTGCATTTCGATTGCGTGTCTGTGTGCATATACTAATATGTGTGTATGTGTATTTCCATGTTGTGTGTGTGTGCGTGCGTGTGTGTGTGTGTGCGTGTGTGTGTGTGTGTGTGTGCGTGCGTGCGTGTGTCTGTGTGTGTGTGTGTGTGTCTGTGTGTGTGTGTGTGTTTACATGTCATGTGTGCTAGGTGAAGCCCTATGCCGGTGGATTGATCCAGTACTTGCCCAGACTATGGGAGGAATCAGTGGATCATGACATGCTGCGTTGCTCCATTGTTACTGTGCTGTCTCGAATCGTTCGAGTAAGTCTGGAATTCCGGCAACGGATATATTGCACGGTGCTTGTGATCGCCAATTAACTTCTATTCGCCTCGATACCAGATACCTGCCTGATAACAATAGACACACTCGAGAGAAGGAAATAAAATGAAGTTGAATTGAAAGTAGGGGCAACGTCGGAAGGTATTTTAGGGTGGTACGGTTAGTCATCTGAAGTACCGTTGACTCGTGGGGGCGAAGCCGAAAATTTTGGAAATCTAGAGTCCAGACCAGGGTATTTTATTGATTCACGGGGTACCAGGGACAAATAGTGGTACGGTCAATACCATGGTGACCGTACTGTGTCCGACGCCCCTGGAAAGGAAGGAAGAAAAGGTAGACTAACGGCGGCTATGTACGCAAGTACTAGTATGCCGCTTGTAGAACAACTGATACTGCGACACTGTGAACTGTGAACTGTGCTTGCAATAGCACAGTGATCGCTGAAGTGAAGGGGACCAGAAACACATCAGGTGTGGTAGTGGCTTGGATTGATTGTAGACAATATCCAAGAGAGTCCTGCTGCCTTTCAGCCTAATGCGTGTGGAGAATCTACAAGCTGATGGAGGCCCAAACTGGTTGTGATGTCATACAAAAAGGCATGTTGGGCTGTGGGAGGTTGAGTGTTCAGATCAACATTAAAGTCGCCACAACGCAGAATTTGCTTGGCCTTTCCAGATGCTTATGAATCATTATCTCGAGAGTCTGCCAGTAGTCTAAGCACTGATTCAGTGGTCGGTAGATGCTTGCTTTGTAGACTGGAAATATTCCTCAGAGATAATGTGCGTATACATCCAGGGTGGAATGGGGGTGCACTCTGGTCCAGTTTAATCTGTCCTTCCCTCTCCCATTCCTCTCCCTGCCTGTGTCCCTCTGCCTCCCTCTGCCGCCTCCTCCTCCTCCTCCTCCTCCTCCTCCTCCTCCTCCTCCTCCTCCTCCTCCTCCTCCTCCTCTCTCTCTCTCTCTCTCTCTCTCTCTCTCTCTCTCTCTCTCTCTCGCTACTGTCATGACGCTTTTCTGCTTGTATCCAGTGTGAAGGTAGTTTGTGTTCTAACATTAGCAGCAATAACAGCTGGCATTCTCTTTCTGACTGTGCCGTGTGCTTTGTGCGTGCTTTCTGTGTGGAGACTGTGTGGGTACTGCTACTGGTGTGTACGTGTGCGCGTGTGTGTGTGTGTGTGTGTGCGTGTGTGTTCAATATGCACATGTGCAGGCATTGGGCTCCATGTCTACTAGCTTGTACGCATTACTCATGCCAATCATTGCACACTGTACTGATCTTAGCCAGGTAAGCTACTACATGATGCAGTCTGTTGTCATCTCACTCGTCCTGCTGCTGCTGCTGCTGCTGCTGCTTCTTGCAGTGGTGTCGAAACTATTTTCTTCTTTTTGTGTTGCTTCTATGTATATGTATATGTGTGTGTGCGTGCGTATGTACTGGTTTTTTTTTACTAATATGCAATCCTTCATCAATCTTGTGAGTGTCTTTCTAAGTAAAACGTGTGGAGCTCTTCCATGCACATGCTGAAGTATTTCTGTGCAAAATGCATGTATCCTGTGGCTAAGAGGCATGTAATAGTCATTGTGTTTTGTCTGCTTGACGTGTAACTGCAGCCGGCACATATCTACTTACTTGAGGATGGTCTGGAACTGTGGTAAGCTGCTACTGCTGCTGCTGCTGCTGCTGCTGTTGCTGGTGTTCATGGTATCTTTGAGTGTTGGAGAAAAGCCGTTCTGGTCAGCAGGGTTCCTTTGCGATGATCACACTGAAACATACAATTGAAATAGTATGGAGGCAGCCAGTTAATCTGCCCCACCTTCTCTATTCAGACCTTCACACCTTTTTGTAGTACTGCACCAGAGAAAAGTACTACATCCTGAACACGCTAGGCTCACCATCCAGCCTCAACAAGCGCTCGGAAATGGTGTCCAAGTGCCGACACGAGAACAAGTATCTCCTCAAATACCATGGTGTCATCCAATATGTCTCCACAGCCTCCTGCCTACACCAACCACACGCCTTTCTCACAACACCCTGCCCACACCAGCCATATACATGTACTCTGCGCTAACATCACACTGCTAGCTTTGTCATTACCTCTACAGCCTCCTGCCTACAACATCCACACACCTTGCTCACTACCTCCTGCCCGCACCAGCCAAACATTCTGCGCTAACATTGCATTGCTAGCCCTGTCACTGCCTCTACAGCCCCCTGCCTACAACAACCACACACTCCGCACACAGCTTCCTGCCTAAAATAACACCTCTAGCCCTGAAACCTATACAGCCCCCACATTCACACACAGCTTTTCCTACAGCGCTACAAGACCCACCCTCTCCTGGCATATATACCGGCATGGTCAGTACCCCATCCTCATGTTGCCTGATGATTGAGAAAGCATGAAACTTGAAGTAGCAGCAAACAAGCCTTGATTGCCCTTGTTGTTCTGTGTATTATGCTCTGCCTCCGCCAGTGTTGAGCACTGTCAGCACACTGGGTACATCCCCCGGTGTAGTATAAAATTATAAATTGAAAAAGTATTTCGTAATTAGGGCAGCGAATTGTGAAATTTTCTTCCGCGATTACCCCCAGGGACAGATATGTAATGATTTACTGGCTTACACTACGATAGACGTCCGTCAACTGCTACTGGCTTACACTACGATAGACGTCCGTCAACTGCTACTTGAACTGTCATCTGCGAGACTAGTAGTGTTTGCCATGATGTTTGTTTGATCTTTCCTTCTGTGCCTATTCTGTGTGTGTGTGTGTGTGTGTGTGTGTGTGTGTGTGGTGTGTTTGTGTGTGTGTGTGTGTGTGTGTGTGTGTGTGTGTGTGTGTGTGTGTGTTTGTGTGTGTGTGTGTGTGTGTGTGTGTGTGTGTGTGTGTGTGTGTGTGTGTGTGTGTGTCTGTGCGTGTGTGTGCGTGTATGTGTTTTGTAGGCACTTGACACTGTGTTGTGCACCTCAGTGTACTGTGGAACTGCTCAACTTATTCAATGTTTGGCATGATCTTCTTGGTAAGTGGCATAGACACTACCAAGAGTACATAAACCAGAGTGTGCAACTGTGCGTATCAGATCTGAAACAGCGCAGTTCGTGCACTACGTCACCCTGATGAGGTCAGCCAAGCCGCGACTTGCGTACAGCTCAAATTTTCATGTTTCATAGCCCGGAAATCAGCCAAGTTTGCTTGATTTAGACGTCCAGTTTCAAGATTTCGGTGTTTTGTGTGACTGTGTACGCTGCGTACATCCACCAACATGTAAAGTCACCAGGCTATCCGTATCAAAAAACCGAAATCAGGACAAACTCAGTGACCTGCACCACCGCGACTGGTTACGCAACTTTTCACCGTACCTGTGGCTTACCATGCCGTCAGAAATGACGTACTGCACGAATTATGCTCCCACAGGAACCATCCCGAGTTGCACACTCTGGTTTATGTACTCTTGACACTACTGATAGTGTAGTAAATTACTGACGTTATCCCCACCTCCCTCTCTCTTTCTCTCTCTCTCTCTCTTTCACACACACACATAGGACTAAGGTATGTGCTAAGCTTGCACACTGAGAGTTAGAGGAACCACCCAGGAACTTTGGTCTGAAGCTATACAGATAAACCATGGAATGGGTCGAAAGATCTGTTTCTGCTGGTGTGGTGATCAGTGCTCACAGATGTCTGTCTGATCTCATTTTCTGGCCTGTTTTTCTGGCTCGTGTATTGTTGATACCTTCTAAGACTCATCTTCATCTGGTTTATGTCCCTGCTTTGCATGTTTGGCTGTGTGTTCTCCATGCGTTGTCCCACTTTACAGACCTGAGAGAGCATTTGAATTTTTGCCTAATGCTCCTGGACTCCTACTTGAGACTTGACGCAGCTACATTTCTTCAGGTGAGCGCTGACTGTGTACATGTCTACTCATGCCAGTGAAGAGCAGGTCATTGCCAGCTGATGGTAGGGACATTGCATTCAGCATTGCCGAACTCTCACACATCACAGTGACCTGCCTCTCTACAAAGCATCTAAAAAAACGTTTCTCTGTTAGACTCCGATGTCTCCATGGCACGGTAAAACAACAGTCCTATCCACCCTTGACCTCAAGCTAAACAGGAAAAAGCCCACGACACACAGTTGAAGCAGTCACTTTCAACATGAAAAACTGTGTGCCAAAAACCCTGCCTCCGCTCAGGATCTACATCCTGTGGTGTGTTTGTGACCTGGTGATAGGCAGCCAAAAAAAAAGGGGGAAATAATGATGTAGACCATAAATTCTGCTGATCTGAAGCAATCAGGTGATACGTGCATGTGCACACTATTGGTTTTGTCTGCTTGTATGCATGTGTACGTGTGTGTGTGTGTGTGCATGTGTATGTTTTGTGTACATACACATGCTTATAAACTAATTAATGTGTCTGTTGCCCA